TGAGAGGCAGAGGGAGAGGTACATTACCCATGACCCCACTATTCTAAATCAAAGGAATGATCACACATTGTGGAAGCGAGGGATAGGTAAATTACCTATGACCCCACTATTCGCCTACACTTTGTCAAAAAAGAGACTACAAAAAGTTGAAAGATCAATAAGATGAATATTAGTTGTTCATTGGGATTGATATAAAAGAAAAGAAATTTTGGGATTCAGAGAAGGGGGATAAAGAGAGAAAAGGAACCAGGATGAGAATGCCTAAAACTTGCTTGAGTTGAATCCAAGTATTTTTTGATCGATACTCCCAAGGTAAAGCCTACACCTTTATTTTATGCATAAATGAAATCAGTAGAGGGGATAGTCAGACAGGATTGTTTAAGTTGATTGGCTAGATGAATTTGGTTTCTATGCTAGGATATGGTATAATGTACTTATGTAGTTAGTAATATGAGATGTGGCTTGCAACAAAGTAGAAGTGATGATTTTAAAGTTAAGATTTTATTGAGTCCCTACTGTTTTTAAACTTCTTCCAAAAGAGACTAATAGTATGCTTGAGGACAAGCAAAAGGTTAAGTCTGGGGGAGTTGATATACCATGATTTTGACCCGCTTTTAGCCATGGTATTGATATGTTTTTATAATTTTTATATATGTTTTGGAGTCTATTAGGTATGTTTACAGGTTCAGGAGCATTTTGGAGAAAAGTGATGATTTAGGTGCCCTTATGGAGCTTAAAGGAGAGTTTTCCGAGATGACTATGAAGATCAGACAACGAGGATACATATCGATCGATACACACCCTGTGTAATCGATCGATGACGCTTCTATTGAAGATGAGGTCGAGATACTCCTTCGATCGATGTACACCATGTACCATCGATCGATATGAAGCGTGGAGGACAAGTCCGATTTGGCCGACTGGAAGCCCAAGTTTTCTCAATATTACAATAATGCCCCTGACTAGTTTTTAACCTAATGGAACTCATATTTATAGTTATGCCTATGTGTTTTGGCAAAGTATGCTTTTGAATCCTTTTAAGTTCTTTTGTTCTTTTGATACTATTCTATACTTAGCAATAAAGTATTCTTTTCATCTTAATTCTCAAATGTTATAGAATTCTAGATTTAGAAGAAACACACAAAGAGATTTGTTGTTACAAGAACCAAAAGTTCAATCTTCTAATCTTATAAATTTCTATTATTACCTTGCTGTTATGAATCTCTTAGCTATGTCTGAGTACATTCCTTTGTTAGATTTAGGGTTCAAATAGTTATGAGGGATTAGCCCCAACTATGAAATGTTGAGTTGTTGATATTCATTATCCAAATGAACCCTAATGCTTACTCTAGAGTAGCTACCTAGAGTATGATCATGGATGTGATTTAACTTGTTAATCATTGTCCATAAATCGTTTGGCATAAGCTTAGATCCTCTAGGGATGTGCGAGAGCCGGTCTATGATCTTGGTGAACACAGTTTCGATTTGATCTTATGCTATATCGATCAATACTCCTATAGAGTTATCGATCGACGGCAACCCATATCGTTCGATATCGCTGTCAAAACATCAGTCGATATTGCCGGCAATAAGATCAATGGATGAGTCTACTTAGCGACCGCTATTAAATCTGTCTAAGAATCGAAGTTCTTATATATCTTGCAAGCAATCCACTAAAACATCTGTAGCATTATAATCCTGATTATCTGAATAGCGACCTTGAATCTAACTACTTTCTTTTATTGTCTTAAACCAAAACCTATTCTCTTGAGCAACCTATCATTGCTCACAAACCGCAATTTACTATTTTAACTTAATCAACCTAGCATAATCACTTAGGATTACATCTATTGTGTTCCTTAGTTCCCTGTGGATTCGATCCCTAAGTACTACAACTGAACCTTTTATTTGAGGGAGTAATTCACTTGTTAGGGTTAAACATTTGAGTGATATCAAATGCGCAAAACGCAATTTTAGAAATATTTAGGAAGAAAATACATGTTGGAAACATATATATACTATATATATAACAACAAATTTAATATATTGAATAAAATGTTTTAAATAGTAAAATTCAGTACATAATTCATATACTATAACTCAAATAAAAAAATGTATAATTACAAAGAATAGATTTACAAAGCATAGTACAATTAGATTATTATTCAGAAACCTGAAGTTAGAATAGATTTACGTATTTAGTGTTCAGCTCTATTGTTATTTATGAATTAATATTTTAAAAATAAAGTGAGTTGAATTGGATTATAAATCAATTAAAATTTGCAAATCCATAAGAATAATGTCTCATCTTCTGTGCACATCAACAATACAGCCACCGTCAAGCTTCTGATCAACGATCACATGCTTCCACCTATTAACCGTGTGTTTCCATCACACTTCCAAATAACAAAATTCTGGAAACACGATTCCGTGACGATTTCATGCGATTCCGAACATTTTCGATTCTGCTTCGAAAATAAGAAACGACCTCAATCGGCGATCCATATAATGTAGGATTAAAAAGACATAATATCTTTTTATCCAAAAAATAATAAAATTAATAATCTCGTTATGCGAAAGGCGCGGGTTATTACCTAGTATTATTACGAAAAATCTTATTTTCTCTCAAACTTACAAAATGAACTACACTAAATATGTGTACACAAACTCTAATCACCAAAATGATAAATATTTTTGGTGAAGACCTTTTGACTAGATTTAACCAAAATCATAGGTTTAAGCGGTTATAAATCTATATTATAATAGTAGAGTTTCTAGACTCCACAGCACCACATCACCAGTTTTGTGGGTCCCGCGTGTGTTTTTTAAAAACCCATAGTCTTGGTAAGATCATTACTAACAACAAAATACATTTTACCTGGGTGGTATAAGGTGTCTAACTAAGCCTGCAAGTGCTTGGGTTCAAACCACGCAATTATCATGTATTTTTGATTTTTATATCTAGATTATTATTATATGGGTTTTTTGTTTATAATGTTTTTATGTTTTTTTCTTTTGGATTATTGTTTAAAGATCAAAATAGTTGGATAAACCCTAAATCTTAACAAGTTCAAACCCAAAAACATTTAAAATAGATCAAAAAACGAACAACCCAAAAAACAAAAAACAAAAAATAAAAAAAAAAAGCAAAAAATAAAAAAGCGAGTCCTACGCGGTTGCCTACGCGGACGGCTTAAGGAGCCTTAAGACTGTCTTATTATAATATAGCTCAACCCAAAAATAATAAAAATGAAACCAAAAACGAATAGACCAAAAAATAAAAAAATTGAGTCCCACGCGGCTACCCACGTGGATGGCTTAAGGAGGCTTGAATAATATTAGGAGCTCAAAAAATTAAATCATTGCACATATTACCTAATATATATTTTTAAAAAATTTGTATGTGAAATAAAATTAAAAAAAACAACAAAATTTAAGTATTTTCGTTATTTGTTAAATGAATATGTTATTTCTCTTACATTTTAATAGCTATTATAATTTCAATGTAAACATTCTTCACCACCGACTCCAGCGAATGGATTCCCACAGTCGATGACGCCGTAGATAAAAATACCACATCATTTATGAACAAACCCAAACTCACAAAAAAACCATATATAAAAACCTATTTAATGAAACCTAAACAACGAATATTAACTTAATTAAGTTTATTTTCAAATTGATAAATCATTTAATACAAATATAAATACTATAAATATAGAATTATATCAAGGTTTGACCTATGATATAAAAACTATTTACAGCAAAAAAAAAAATAGACACCTACTTTTACACACTAAAAACTATATTATAGCCTAACTATTCCTATAAATTTTATTTCACATTTAAATAACATTTAACCAATTATATATATAATATTTTCACTTTACAATGTTGCTACATTCTTTCCGTTTCATTATTGGTGTCATTAGACGAACTCAATAAACCAACAAGCGAAAATATACACGCAAACCCAATGATCCCAGCTCCGCGCTTGCGCGGGGAGTATGCAACTAGTGTTAATAGCTTTTTCATGAATTTTTTGTTTAACGTTTGTTAATGGAATCCAACTAATAAACATAGATACTCCAGAATACATGTAACCAAGACATAATTGATGATGTTTTTTTTAAATATAAAAAGCTTGTTAGGGAATTTGTTTTGGGTTCATGTAGCTTTTGTTGTCTAGCACTTGCGTTATGTGATCAACCAAAAAATCTGAAGCTGTAACCAGTTTTAATTAGGAAAAGGTGTGGAAAGCAGAAAATGGCGGAAAGAAAAAGTGAAACTTTAGAGAATTTTTTTTTCCTTCACAAGAAAAAAAAGAAACTTAGAGAATTGTTATTATATAGTATATAGAGGTATACATTATTCTATTTTTATTCTTTTCTGATTCAAATGGACTAAACATTAGACACCATCAGTAGCGGTCCTGACTTACAAAGAGCCAAAAGCTTTTTTTAGAAAAAAACCGATAATGTTCCAATCATGGTTCGAACTCAAGGTTGCTAGGCTCAAATTGATTAATAGATACCACTAGACTAAAGAATATTTTGTCAATAATTGGCCAAAACTTATATATATTTTTGAAGGTCAGAAGCCCATGCTTCTAATGCTTCCTATCAGGGCCGGACCTGGACACCATCGATTATGGGAGCAGAAGACACAATCTCATGAGCTTATACTAAACTAAATGGTTAAATCAGGTTTGGAAGTGAAGGGGAAACAACTAAGCATATATTGTTCAAATGTCAGGCAAGTAAAGAGGTGAGACTCTAAGCTAAAATAACCTCACTGGGAAAAAAATTGATCATGTGTAGAGAAACATCTTTGTACCTTTTTGTTGAATGGGAAATTAGGAAATTAAGGAATGAGATTATCTTTCCGAATAAAAAAAAAAAGCGCATATACCATGTGTCGTTAATAAGGCTTTGATCGATAAGAAACTGGAAGGAAGCAATCCTAGATAGTGAGGAGTTGGATAATACGGGAAATAAATTATGTCAATGAGCTATGAAGAGCACAGACTTGGTTTCACGCTAAAAACTTTTGCCCCATGGTTTATGGCTCTTGGACCTCTCATATATGCAGGAATGGGATGGACACTTTACAACAAGCAAGGGCAGCGTATTCTCAGTGGAAGTGCATCTGTTCCTCCCACCAATACGGCTGTCGAAGCAAAAGCAAAGGCATTGAGAAAGGCGGTTACTCAAATAAAGAAGCTTGGCTATGCTCATGTTACTTTCTGTGGAGATGTGGTTGCAGGGCCATTCCTATTAATTTGGTGGTTCAAAGCACATTAACATAATGTGGCCTCATATTTTTACTACCAAATGATTATGTATTATATTATTTTACTTATAACTGAATTGTATTGGAGTAATATATATTATTTAAAAGGTTTTTCCAAAGATGAGCTAGTATTTAACAAAAGGATAGTACTTAGATATTTTCATTTAATGTTTTTAAGATTTTCAATACCCATGTTTCCCGAATTTAGTAGGAAATTTATAACTTATGAATTTTAAATTAATAATGTAAATAATTGGTGTTAAGGTCTAAGCAGGATAATAATACAACATTAAAAACCTGATTTGAAATAAATAAAAATATAGTGTTGAAAAAAGGTACTGAGAAAATGCTAGTTTAGATAATTTCTCTAGATTATATGACATCTGACAGAAAAAAATAGTAAAAGACTATGCAATTTGTACAAATACACCATAATAGGAGTTAAACTCTCCTATTCCATGAGTATTAGCAATCAAGAAACCACTATATCATTAAAACATCTCCCAAAGTGTGGTCTTTAAGGTTTTGGGCTAAAGCATCTGCTTCATAACTTTATTCAAGAGACGGGCCTGTGTGGTTGCGGATGGCGAGCTTCACCTTCGTCACCGATCTCATGGCGATCGGGTCCAGATGACTCATGGCGTCAATTTTCATACAACATCAAAGCATGAAATCTAATCTTTAATCCCCACTCTACCGCGAAGCTTCAATGTAGTAGGTGAATCAATACCCAGGAACGCATTCATAGACAGCTCCATAATCTGATGATCCCCAGGTAACTCATCATCCGCTAACGCGATCGTCTCGTGAATCTCCACAGAATCATTACCGGAACCATCCATATCGGTACCGATCCACGCTCACTGCACCAATTTGATAAGTTTTAGTTGGTAAACCTCACTTATCGTCCTACTCTCTTTCTCTCACGTTTGTAAAAAGGATCCACAAACAAAAGGAATGTAATCTCGATATAGAATCCCAAAAGAGAAATACAAACAAATCTCAAATCACAAACGAAGTACGGTGATGCTAAAAGTATTACGATCTCATAACGATCGTCGTAGAGGACTCATGACGTCACTCTCCAAATCACACAAATAGCATGAAAATGAAAAGCAACAACTTGTCCTACTTTATTCGTTATTCTCACGTGTCCTCAAAGCCTCTCTCTCAGCTAGCGACTTTGCTCCCACGTGCGAGCTCCACGTCATCCTGCAACTCGTCACTCTCATTTTCCTTCTCCTCTGTTTTTGAATCTTTCAACTCTGCTTCTGCACCTCTACTGCGCTTTCTGAAATAGACTCTCTGGAACGTATCAGGTTGAGATATTCCAATTGGCTAAGGTTGGAGAAGAAGGGATCATCTTAAATGGATTGACTCAAGACTTGCTTCTTACATCAGAGATATTCTAGAGCACAAAGACTCCTTCTTCTTCTGGGATATTGTTCACTGATCGCTGTCTAAAGCTCCTTTCTCTATGAACATAGAGTAGTGCTTCATATACACCGTAGACAATTGGTTGAAGTTGTCTATGGAGTCAGCCTCTAACCAAGATAACCAACCGAGAGCGGCTCCTAAATTCTTTTTGACAAGAGTTGCATGTATCCAGCATTCCGTTCTCCATCGCCAAAGCAAGTTCATCCCATTGTGATGCAGAAAGCATTCATGTGAGCTTCGGTATTAGTTTTCCCATCACATGAGGGGATTTCAGTGTGATGTTGAAGCTGGGAACATTGGCTATGCGGTCTGTGAATGGTGTCTTTGATAACTTTTTCAACTTTTGAGGCTGGGCTGGTGTCTGAGTGGACTTTTAATTACAACGTCTAGAGGCCTGCTCTAGCTCCGGCGAGCGTACGTTTTAGAATGCTGACGTTGGGTCCACCTGGTTATAGCTTGGCATTAACTCTGTTTCAAGTTTGGGATATCCGGTCCTTGTATTTGGCCTGATTCTTTGGAACGAGTTTGGAGTGGGTGAAACTTTGCCTTGAATGTTTTTTGGTTAATTAACAATTCTTGGACATGTCATATATATTATATTAAATGATACACTATATATATTCACATAAAAGGAATCAAATGCTCCAACATTCCTACTTCCTAATGTTCGTTTTTTTACATCAAATGTCATAAGTCAGATTTGAGATGGTCCGGATAATCTAACCTGAAAAAACAACCAATAAAACAAAATTTCCTATGAAAATATTTCTACATCTTTGCCATGAATCTGCTGCTGAATTACTCGCCGGGGGAATGTAGACGATAAAAGAAAATCTAAAAGCTCCCTTTTAGTCTAGTTATTTCCATCAGTTTTTTTAGAAGTTTTGCCATCCACCCTAGAACCTGAATCATCGATATTAATTCTCAACAACTGTCTATACTGGTTCCTGGTCCTGATAAGTTGAATTTTTCCATATCCATCCATATCCAGTAAAAGGTAAATCATGATGCTAAGAATCATCAATCATACAAATATTTTGTAACCTTAAGATTTGTATATGTCGTATTTCCTGCTGTGCATCAAATGAATCAGATAACATGTTCGCTTCATGCCAAGAACGACATTCTTTTTACGCATATCAAACCAATTCATGTAGATTTCTAATGATTCCCCTAAAAATCATATCATTATGTGCTTTTAAATGGTCGTTAATGGTCGTATACTGGTACTTTTGTACCATATATTGTAACATAAGTACAATGCAAGTTTAGACTTTTATGCCAAGAAAATCAACTTCATGGGGTTGTTGAACAATAAACCCTATTTATAGCTAAACAAAAACATATATTTAGTTTCTGTTTTCTCGAATTTGGTAAGACAAAAAACTTGGTAAGACCAATTCTCCTTGAAAATGATCTAAACTGGTAGGACTGGTGACTTGGACATGTTCATATTCTACTCTGACATATTGTGTATAGAGGTTTCTGGTTGGAAAGTGAGAATAAATTACGTTTCAATACTTCTTTTGACCGGACTAGCAAGATTGTACATGTACTTTCAAAACAAATTAGCCAAATATATAGTCATAAAATACAAAAATACATGGTCCTAAGCTCTACGATCAACTCATTCATTCTTTACTGAGCACTATAAGTATAAGCCAAAGTATCCAGACATCTCTTTTATTGAAACAGAAACATTCTATTAGACCCAATTTTTATTTAATTTATTCTATTAAAAAAGAAAAATTCTTTTAGCCCAACTTTGTGTACAAAGTAAATACATATTTACTATAAAATAACTATAAAAAACTATATTATGATACTGTCTATGTTTTCAAACAACACAAACATATTGGAATATAAAATTATATTGTACTGCATAAATTTTAAGACGTAGTTAACCTTAAATACATTTTCTCTAGCTCTTGAATGAAAACATTAACTCGTGGTCTTGAAAAATTAAAATAAATCAACTGCTGCACATTAAAAAAAACTTCATCTCAAATATTTTCTTTTTTACTAAGATTTTTCATCACTAATAGTTTTCAACAAAGAAATAACATATCCTCCTATCCCCTATACATTAAAAGAGAAGTCACTTTAGTGATTTCTCGACACGTGTCACTCATAGAGGACTTCTAAGATTAATTCTCTTAATCTTCTTGGTTGATTTTTTAATTTATTTTTTATTTTTTAATTCAGCGCGAAGAGTAATTTGATAACAAAACTATCGACGTTTCCAAACACTCCAAATTTGTTAATTTCTTTTAATGACTTACCTTATTTTAATAATACATATGTTGCACAAGTTGTAATTTTCTTTAATCTATTTCAATTAATTTTAAAATCTATCAAATATAATAATTCATATTAAATGTCTTACCTTATTTAAAAACTACATAACTTGCACAATAATGAAATTAAGCCAAGAATATTAATTGGTCGATCACTAATAATCTACTAACTTTACTAATAATGAATACATGTATTAATAATTTTCCTTATTAGATATTACTTGCGCAAGAATATCAATTAATAAAACATGTATTAGTAAATTTCTTTATTACAAATACGGAAAACAATTCACTCTTGATATCATATTGATTACATTGTTTAGTGCGATTTATCGATTTATATCTAATTAGGTTGTTTTTTATTATTAACTTACATTATTAATATTGAATACACAATTTCTAATATATAGTTTCTATATACGGTTTCTCATATGATTAATCGTATAAAATATATAATATTCTCAATAATTTATTAGAGAATATTCTATTTATTAGCTTATCATGCAAGCTAAATCATTGAGAAATATCCATCAATTTACTATATATAAGACATTCACAGTATGAGAAACGAAGCCACTGGACTTTTTATTCTGAACTTTTTATGTTGATACTGTTTTTGTTATCTTACATCATTAAGTTTTTACATATACATATTTCATCAGAGCTGACTTTTCTTTTGGTTTATATGCAGATGCCCTATTATAACGATTTCACCACGATGCATGAAATTTTTTTTATCTTTCTATATGATTTGATTAATCGTAGATCTATTTGAATTCTAATTCTTACTTTTTTAAATATGTTCATAGGTATTATATTTCTATTTAATGATTGTTTGTTAGAGCTTAGAAGGAGAAGAATGCTTTCATATTTATTTTCTATTGGTTTTTTAATTTACAATTTTAGTTTATATGCGCAGACCAACGATTATGACGTTTCCTCCTGTGGATCCATATGTACTTAAATCTCTCTTCACATTCATGTTATTCAGAGACATGAACATTACAAATGATCATATCATCCGAAACACATAAACTACAATGTAAGTTTCATGCTTTGTTACTTTCTCTATGTTTTTCAAATAATTATTTGCTTATACACTAAAGAAAAAAAAATCTTTAATCAATATTTTATTATAAAAGTTAGTATAACTTTTTATACATTTAATCAACTTTGTACTGAAATATGATTTTATACAATTTATCATATTATAAAATGTATAATCCTATAAATTCATATATGTAAACTATATATTTCTTTTTTTCATCTTTTTTTGT